CAGAGCCCGACGCGGGGCTCGAACTCACAGACCGTGAGATCATGACCTGAGCTGAAGTCGGATGCCCAACAGACTGAGCCACCCAGGCGCCCCTATTATTATCATTTTTAAGATGTTATCTTTAAGTAATCTCTACACCCAGTGGGAGGCTTTAACTCACAACCCTGAGATCAAGACTTGCATGCTCCAGCAACTGAGCCAGCCAGGCGCCCTAAGCCCTGTATACTTTGTTAGAACATGTAAGCAGTTACTGGGCTTTTACTTGTAGGGATCTCTAGTAAGTAGCAGGTCTTTGCCACTTTTATGCAGAAAAAGACCTAGAAAACAGGAATTTTTTATTACCGCCAACTTTATCAAATTCATAAATATAAATCACTGCTAAATGATTTTCTTCTGCAGCTTAATTGAGGTATGATTTACATACAAAAAACAGCATATATTTAAAACGTACAATTTGATAAGTTTTAAGATAGGTATATACCCGTGGAACCATTATCACAAAGACAATATATTCCTCCCAAAAGTTTAATAGCTTTCTGCATTTTGATGCTCTTACATTCTTTGATTCTTTGTTCATTGCTTTCTTTTGTAAATAAGCTTAAGAGAACATTTTTAATCCACTGAATAAGCCATTTGAACCTCTGCTCTGTATTAAGGGCTATATGAAAGGTTACTTTGGTGGTGGGGAGTCCCCTGAGATAAAAAATATGTATAAGAACTGGTTGGTTCCTCCTTTTAATAAACTTATACCCTGAGTGTTCACACGTATACTTTATAGTATTACTGATCTTCTTCCCCCAGTCCCACAACTACTTCATTTGATTCCCTGATAATGAACTTAGAAATGTTCATAATGTCAGTGTGTACGTTGATTAGCTACCATATAATTTTGTAAAGAGTTATTGTGGTATTTTGGCATCTGAGAGAATTCTGTACAACCTGTCATTAATGAGTAATTTTTTCACAGGCAGTCTGGGCTCTTGGCAACATTGCTGGAGATAGTACCATGTGCAGGGACTATGTCTTAGACTGCAATATTCTTCCCCCTCTTTTGCAGTAAGTTTCTATTCTTACTATTTTTTTTTTGAGTAGTAAAAATATGGAAAGTTCCTCAGGAAGCAGTGCATTTTTAGAAATCATTTTGAATTTTCCATTGTTCTTTTTCATTACAGATACTTTCTTATTAACTTGTTCAGGTCATTTCTTCAGGCATTCTAGCTTACTCCAGTGCCAGTATTCTGAATTAGTGCTGTTAGAATTAATTCAACTTTATTTTCTGGAGAAAAGCTATTTAAAGACGTGTTTATGAGTAGCATTAAATGATTTAGTATTTATCTTATGCTATCAGATAATTAATGTCTATTATATAGTTTACCATTGTATCATCATGCTTATAGGTTATTTTCAAAGCAAAACCGCCTGACCATGACGCGGAATGCAGTATGGGCTTTGTCTAATCTCTGTAGAGGGAAAAGTCCACCTCCAGAATTTGCAAAGGTAAGGATTAGGCTTATGGAAATGGGCAGAAAAAAGTACAATTAAAAGAGTGTAGCATCAAATATTAATGTGAACAGAAAGATTGGTAATTTTGCATAAAATTTAAAATGTTAGAATTTTATATGTTTCTACAGAAATAGGGCTTTTTGTTTCTGTGTTAATTTGGGATAAATTTTCATTGTAAAAATTAGCTCTGAATTAATCTTAAAACCTGGCAATTTTTGTTTATAGCACAGTAAAATTCACAGTTTATTAGTTTTAGCACTTGTGAAAATGTCTTTGCTTCTTTGGTCCACAAAGAGTGTTTTTCAACAAGGAATCTCATTCTGAGAACTGGTATATACTTCAGTCTCTGAAATTATTTTCCTTGGTCTCAGCATTCCCAAAGATGGAAATGCCACTTGGCCACTTGTTACTCCATTTCTAGAAGTATTAATCACCCCAGAAATCACCAAGTGTGTGCTGCTTGCCTTTTGGAATTTCTCACCTCACTTCTGGCTTTTATTCCATTGAATTTCATTATCATGTCATCTTCCCTTTACAGGTTTCCCCCTGCCTGAATGTGCTTTCCTGGTTGCTATTTGTCAGTGACACTGATGTACTGGCTGATGCCTGCTGGGCCCTCTCATATCTATCCGATGGACCCAATGATAAAATTCAAGCTGTCATTGATGCAGGAGTCTGTAGGAGACTTGTGGAGTTGTTGATGTAAGATATCTTAAAGTGTGTCTGTTCTTTTGTCCCTATGTTAGTTTATTAGTTTCTAAATGCTGGTAAATACTAATTAGTAGACTGTACTAATTTATTGGGCTTTGGGCTGCTCTCTTTTGTAACTTACACTGATGTCAAATCTGTTTGTTTTGAGGCTTATATAAAGAACTGCTCACCCTATTGTTATGAGCAGTCCTTCAGCGGGAACATTTGGAAAACTGTGTAATTCCAGTTAGTGATAAATAACCTGAGACCAACCCCTGGATAGATAGCGAAAGGCATATTGCCACTAAAAGTCATTCCTTATCTTTCTGTCTCATTTAGAGCTTAATCTAGACTGGTGTTAGACTCTGAATTTTATTTTGCTGTATCTCCTTGTGATGCCTTTGTGTAAACAATTTACGGCTGTATTAATCCAATTTTCAGTTCTTTAGAAGAAAAAATTAGACTGATAACATAATGGGGAAATGGTACGTTTACTAGCCACATGAAATTTAATTGAAGTAAGTACAAAGTAGATGAAAGGAGACATTACCCCAAATGTGATATGTGGAATGCATCAGATGAGTTTAATATGCAGAATACAAAACTCTGAGAGTACAGCTGACCACAAACTGAGTACAGATGAACAGCATAATGCTGTTATGAATTAAAGGCAGATGAAGCTGCACGAGGCAGAAGTGCAGCATTCAAAACCTGGGAAGTAACCTTTTATGTTCTTTAGTCACTAGATTATGGTGTATTTTAACCATTTCTTTTTAGTCATCAGATCCTAAAATAAATGTGAGAGAAATGGCCAAGTTTTGAGAAGAGTGATCAGTCTCATTAAAGGGAAAAGAAAAGAGAATTTTTAAGGGAAGTTAAAGCATATTAACCTGAAGTTAAAATTTTCAATAAGCTTTTTTCACATATGTACAGGGTTTCATGGAGAGTATATTTTTGACTGGTAAGTTGGCTGAGGTTTAATAGAAAGAGTTCACTCTTTGAAGTGTGGAGCCTGGCTCTCATTTTTAAGTTAGTTCACCTGTTGGCACATTTTCAACTCTGAGGCAATGAAAACTGTATTCAAGAATGAGAGGGAAATCTTGGTATCCAGGTGATGAAATACCTGGGAAAGATTATTAGGAAAGATTTGTAGTTTTTATCCAAAAGTGCTAAATAAAGGGAAAGATAATTCCTCTAGGGGATATACAAAACCCATCCTCCTAGGGTTCTCTTAACAACTATCGTAGGTACCTTTCTGCTCTAACATCATGTTACATTATTTGGTTTGGATTTCAGCCCTAAGGAAAAGAGACTAAGGCTAGAACTCTTGCATTGATATTTCTTTTTATGGTTGCAGGCATAATGATTATAAAGTGGTTTCTCCTGCTTTGCGGGCTGTGGGAAACATTGTCACAGGCGATGATATTCAGACCCAGGTATGAATAAGTGGTGACTACTGTTTCCCTTCAGAAACAGTACATTGAACCCCGTGATTATGTTTCTATTACAGTATTTAACTCCATGTTTTTGGGGAGAGTTTCATTAATGTTTGTCAAAAATGTTGCCTTAGGCAGCTCCTTTAGTACCTTCACTGTCTCTATCTTGTCTGTTTCTTGGAGCAATTTTGGGTTCCCTTTAGTTAGTCAGGTTTATTTCCCACTACTACTTGAAGTGGTTCTTGTGAGCATCTGAAGCCTCCAGTAGCAGCCTTTCTCTGTCATCTTCATCTCCTCTCTGATAGCTTCCTTCTTTTTGTGCATGCTAAATCTCCTATGTGAGGAGGATTCTTCCTTGTTCTTTTTTTTTTTTTTTTTTTTTTGAGAAAGAGAACAAGCAGGGGAGGGGCAGAGGGAGAGAGGGAGAATCTCACGCAGGCTCCATGCTCAGCAACGATGCAGGGCTCCATCTCATGACCCTGAGATCATGACCTGAGCCAAAACCAAGAGTTGGACGCTCAGCTGACTGTGCCATCCAGGTGCCCCTTCTTTCCTTGTTCTTAATGTCACTCCCATTCTATTCAACCTCTGTATCAAGATATATCATTCACAGTGGCTTGTTCTTGATCTCTCTGATGCAATGGCATTGTCTTTAAAATTCTTTTCCTAGGCTTCTGTGGTGTTCCAGTTATTTTGAGTCTCCTGTCTCACAAACCACTTCTTAGCGCGCTCCTTTTCCTGTTCTTGTTTGTGGGATTATCCCCTGGAGGGGATAATTATTCACTGATTTTATTTATAACTTCAGCTATCACCCTGGTGCAGCTTGATTGAGAATCGAGAATAAGATTTTAGCCATAACTCTTTCTTAACCAGCTCTTAGGTGGAAGACATTTAATGTCTTCACTTTTCTAATCCCTAAAATTTGGATTTGTACTCAAAGGTGTCTTCCAGATCTAATATCTACTTCAAATTTATGCTTCAGAAAGGAACCCATTATTTTCCCTGGTATATCGGGGCCTCTGCTTATTTGTTATTTACCTCAGTGAATGGCACCTACACTTGACCAATCCAAAAACCTGGACATTAGCTGGATTATTTCCCTGTTTTCCACCTCTGTCATCAGTCACTAGCTGCCATCTCTACTCATCCGTTGCATTTCTTGCTATATTCCTGTATCACCAGAAGGATGCTTATAAAATGCAAATTTGATCATGTCATTCTCTGACCTAAAATCTTTTTATGGCCTTCTGTTGTCCTTTGAGGGTGTTTAAGATCCTTTAAAATCTGGCACCAGTTTTAATGGAATTCTGTGCAACAGAATGAGGAAGCCCTTAAGCACTGATATAGAAATGCCTCCAGGTTGGGGCACCTGGGTGGCTCAGTCAGTTGAGCGTCTGACTTCGGCTCAGGTCAGTCATGATCTCATGGTTCATGGGTTCGGGCCCCATGTCAGGCTCTGTGCTGACAGCTAGGAGCCTGGAGTCTTTCAGATTCTGTCTGTCTCTCTCTCTCTCTCTCTCTCTCTCTCTCTCTCTCTCTCTGCCCCTCTCTTGTTTGTGCTCTGTCTCTCTCAAAAATAAACATTAAAAAAAAAAAAAATACCTCCAGGTTATATCATTTAAAAAGAAAAACAAGGAGCAGAAAAGTGTGTGTGGAATATATTAGTATTTATATAAAAGGAGGCAGAGAGGAAAGAAAAAAATAATATGTATGTTTGATTATATTTGCATAAAAATTCTCCAGAAGAATACATAGGAAACTAATAATCTTGGTTGTCTCTGGAGAACTGGGTTGCTGGCATACAGGAATGGAAAGGAGGCTTTTAACTATATAGTCTTTTATTATACTTTCTGAATTTTTAAACCATTTCACTGTATTTGCTATTCACAAAAAGGTTCTTTCCCTCCCCATACCATGCTCTGTGCTTCTGCCATGTTTATTCCTTAAATTAGCTATGACCACATTCAGCACTAAGATTTAACACAAGCTTGCTTCTCTCTGCTCAGAACATAGGCTTGCATCCCCATCCCTGCTTTTAACCACTGGCTCACACTAATGCACACTCTGCCACTAATGTCGTCTCATTCTTCAGGACTTCCTGTTACTGTTTTTTTCTCTGAGAAGCCATGTTCACTTAAGTTAGGTGTGCCTTCTTTTGTTTCATCCATCATACCACTTACCACACTGTATTGTAATTATCTAATCACTAGATTGTAAGCTTCTAGAGGGGGGAACGGTGTTGATCTTGTTCATTTTTGTATTTCTGTACAGTCTTAATAGTTCCTGGCACAGTGTTTAATACTGAATGAATGAAGTTCTGTATCTATACATCTACTTCTGATGTCCCTCAAGTTTTACTCCTGGGTCTCCAGTAGCCTGTTAAATATTTCTGCTGGCATGTCTCACATTTGTCTCTCTCAGTTTATCTTCTTCCCCCAGAAAGCCAGTTCCAGGTCTTGATTTTTTTCCCCCCATTTCAGTTAATGAGGTAACTGTTCACTGCTACTTGAAGCTTTGCAGTCATATTTGGTGTCTCCATCTCTCACACCTTGTATAGCAAGTCACCAGCTCTTGATTCTTTGTGTTTCAGTATCCACGTCTGATTACCTTAGAACCTTGAAAGGATTTGTACTTCACAGTTTTAGTCTCATTCTTCCTTGTAGCCTGTTGTTAATTTTAGGGATACAGAACTCTTAATAGCCTCACTGCTCTATTCTTTCCTTATTTTGGTACTTTGTTGTAGCTTGTCTCAGCATTTTTTTGTTTCCAGCCTTTCTTATCTGCTGTGTCCTTCCTCCCTCTTCTTTGCTTGTGAAATCCTATCCATGTTTCAAGTCAGTTTCCCCACACCCATGAAGTCTTTTTTCATGATTACTCTGCAAGTACTGTCTTTAACTTGTGACAGGTTTATTTTTTTTTATTATTTGACTTTTTTTTTTTTCCAAAAAAATTTTTTTTAACTTTTATTTATTTTTGAGAGACAGGGCATGAGCAGGGGAGGGGGAGAGAGAAAGGGAGACACAGAATCTGAAGCAGGCTCCAGGCTCTGACTGTTAGCACAGAGCCCGATATGGGGCTTGAACTCACTCACTGTGAGATCATGACCTGAGCCGAAGGACTGAACCACCCAGGCGCCCAGTGTTTGGACGTGTTTAGTTTCTAGAGCACATCTTTGGCATTTAAAAAATGGCTTTGTAATCTCTCTTATACTGTTAAGATTGTGCCTCTTTAAACACAAGTTTTAGTATTTTTTGAGCTGTATTAATAGGCAACAAATGGCTTTATTTTAATTTGCGTTTCTTTCATTTCTTGTGAGGTAATCTATCAAAATTGTAGTTTCTCTTAACAATTTACATGTTAAAGACAGCAACCATCTTATCTATTGTAAATTTTTTTTTGCATTACATAGTGTGCATTTTAAATTTTGTATTTTTTGACATGCAAATATGTCTATTTGATGAAATTTTAATTTTCCCCCTGTAATTTCTTCCATTGTTTTTATGCTTTGAAAGTCCTTCACTATCCCTAAACCTGCTATATACTGATAGTTCTGTTTTATGGTGTCTTTTTTATGTTTACTCTTTAAATTGGTTGTGGGTTTATTTGGTAATGGGTTAAGAATTTTTAAAAAATTCTTCTCAAAACTAAAAAAAATGTTTTTCAACCAGTTAACCTCAGGAAGAACTTTATTATATATTTAATTCCTTATAAATACCCGCATTTGTTTCTGGACTAGATATCTGTTCTGTTAGTTATTCAGTGATTGATTCTTGTGCCTACCACAGATTATTTCAATCATTTTAACTTCATAATTTAGTTTTGGTAGAGTAGAGCTCCTTCGTGTATGTTTGTCACTCTCTTTCACCTTTGTAAGCTGCATGATAGCTGGGGTCCTGTCCTTTTTTAGCTTTGTGTCCTCTAAAGCACCTGGTGTACTTCATGTAGTATGTATTTGTTCATTGACGGCCAGGTACAGTGTTATCAGAGGACTTAAAAATCTGAGGCTACTTCAGATATTTACACATCCAAAAGCCTTTTAATGTGCTGTAGGGATAGGAAGGTGAAGAACCAATACATTGTAGTACCTTATGAAGTAGCAGTTGTACAGTTACAATGTGTCTAGCAGAACTGCTTTGGTAATGTTAGAAATGAATTCTTATTGTCAGTGAATATTCTTTTACATATATAAAGTTATTTCTAAAATTTCAAGGGGAGACATTATTTCTTTGCCTATATTGTTCCTAAAATAAATGAGTTAAAGATTTACTTCTCTTTGGATCAATACAGATTAAGTTTCAAACTTTTCCTTTTAGGTAATTTTGAATTGCTCAGCTCTGCAGAGTTTATTGCATTTGCTGAGTAGTCCAAAGGAATCTATCAAAAAGGAAGCATGTTGGACAATATCTAATATCACAGCTGGAAATAGAGCACAGATCCAGGTAATCCCATAGCATCTGTCTTTTTTCTTCTATTTTTATTGATAAGGTTTAGGTGTTTTTCTGTTGGGCTTACATTTTTTTTTCCATTATTGCCTTGCAGACCATTAACTTCCAACATTTTTATCTTTTTTTTTTTTTATCCTACCTTACAGACTTTTGAAACTTATACTTTGGCCTTGGTGCCTTAGTATTTCCCTGTGCCTTAAATATTTGATGATGTGCCAAGACCTGAGAGAGTGTCTTGTATTTTTGAAATGTTATGATGGTCTTTATACTAAATAGATTGGCTTTACTCTTGCCAAGTAAAATATTTTTTCCTAGCAGACCTCATCTATTGGATAACTTCAGTTTTTCATAAAACCTTTGGGGACCCATTTTTCTCTAAAAGGTTATCTGCCCTTTAATTTTGTTCTTCTGTTAGGTGGGAGAGTAACCCATGTGGAAGATAAGCAGTGGGCCAAAGGGTTCAGCACAGGCCATGAGAAAGGCTGAACAACTGGTTGTAAAAGATAAAACACAGACCTCTGGGACTTTAATTGGAGGGGAATCATAGAGATAGTTATCTCATCCAATACTCTCATTTAAGGATGAAACTGAAAAATGATTTGTTCAAGGGAACCCCTAGTAAATGACAGATCAAGATGAAGTGTCTTTCCACTAAACTTTGCTGACTTTCTTCACTAGTGTAATAGAGTTCTTGATCAGGAAAGCATGGTTAGTCATCCCCAGAATGCTGCCAGGGACTGAGATTGATAGCTATAGAAGTTCATACCATAGCATGCATACAAGGGGATTTCAGTGATAGTTGATTACCTGCTGCTGTTCGTGTCTTATGTAGAGTTTCTCAGTTTCTTGATATAGGAAATTATACGAACCCATTTTAGGTTCTTGAGCTAAGGAGAAACATGAAAAAAGTAATTTGAAGCAGACTATTTTAGTGTTTATATATGAGAGGGGGTGAGTAAAAGTACTCTGCCTAACTATAGGCTGTGCTGGTAATCTGGGTGGGAGTTGGTAGGTTGGAATAGGATTGTGCTAAAGGGAAGTGCTAAAAGGGAAGGAAAAGGGTGGCTCAGGAGGTTTTAAATTGAGATTGTAGAGACTTAGTGACTGATGAAATTTAGAATAAATAAATACAAAAAAGAGCCTTTGTAAATACAAAAAGAAGTCTGAGAGGAGACCTGACCTGATACAGAGGGTAGATGATATGTTTGAAGTGATTAACAGATCTAAAGCAGATTGTTGGCTATCATGGGCTGGGGTGCCCAAAAGTGAGGACTGGAGGGTTACATCACAAGTGTCGGAGTTGGATGCTGTGAAAGAAATGAGACTAGCAGAGGAACAGAAAATTGAACTTCCATAATTTGTTACTGTGGGTGAAATGAGAGAGGACAGTCAAAGAGAAAAGAACTTGGGCAGAAAACTAGGAGATTATAAGAACATAGACTCCAGGGAGAGTTATCAGTGTACCAAGTACAGTTGAAAGGTCAGGGGTGAGAGGACTTCTAGTTAATTTTTAAAGGAGGGAGGCATGTCATTAGTGAAGGTAGCTAAAAAGTTATAATTAGTATCATGAAATTTTTGCAAGTTTTGTAATTTCCCTTTTCATTTAATTTTTAAATTTTAGACTGTGATAGATGCCAACATTTTCCCAGCCCTCATTAGTATATTACAAACTGCTGAGTTTCGGACAAGGAAAGAAGCAGCTTGGGCCATCACAAATGCAACTTCTGGAGGATCAGCTGAACAAATCAAGTAAGTACTAGCCAGGTAGCATCTTGTAAATCAAAGGAAAAATTATTATGTCTACTAGTTATGAATGCTCTATGCTAATCTCTTGCAAGATTATTCTAAGTTTCATACTAGACTCAAATTCTTCCATTCCCTCCTGCTGAAGTAATTCCAGGATAAGAGAAGTAAGGCATAGTTGAGGTTTGAGACAATATTAGTATTTATAGGGTGGCTTTAGCCTACTCTGGAGCTTTTTTGTCAGAAACAGGTAGTCTAGAAGGTTACTTGTAGAAGCCTTAAGAATCTAACCTTGGTACCTAATTCTTGCCATTTTTAAAAAAATTATTATTTTGAGAGAGAGACACACACACACTGAGTGTGAGCAGGGGAGGGGCAGAGAGAGAGAGGGGGAGACACAATCGGAAGCAGGCTCCAGGCTCTGAGCTGTCAGCACAGAGCCCGACACAGGGCTCGAACTCTTGAACTGTGACATCATGACCTGAGCTGAAGTCGGACACTTAACTGACTGAGCCACCCAGGTGCCCCTAATTCTTGCCATTTTTAGTTTAGAAGTCTTACTAGAACTGGATCAAACTTGAAAGAGAAGTCTATCTTAGAATAAAGTGCCAAATTTAGTAGAGGCAAGTGTCTCCTGAGGTCCTGTAGTATTCAATAGAGAGAGATCTCTATTAGCTTGAGACTTAAATGACTCCTTGGGTGGCTTATAATCTTAATGGCTAGAGAAGGCATAAATATGGACAGGAATCAATTCCTCAGAGGAACATCATATAATTAAATGCTAAATTATGGGCATTCAGTATTTCAGATAAAAAAAGATTATGATGAAGAGGAAAATGGAACCTAGACTCTTAGTCTGCCTTAACTTTCTTTATGGGGAATTCAAATGAGGGGAAGATGATTACAAATAAGTGTTGGGGGCACCTGGGTGGCTTAGTCGGTTGAGCGTCCAACTTCGGCTCAGGTCATGATCTCACAGTCTGTGAGTTCAAGCCCTGCTTCGGGTTCTGTGCTGACAGCTCAGAGTCTGGAGCCTGCTTCAGGTTCTGTGTCTCCCTCTCTCTCTGACCCTCCCCTGTTCATGCTCTCTCTGTGTCTCAAAAATAAATAAACATTAAAAATAAAAAAATTAAATTAAAAAAACCAAATAAGTGTTGAAGTACTAATCCCTTCCTCATATGTAATATCAGGAAAAATACAACTACTCATATTGTTGCTTTGTGGGTTAAATGTTCACACTTAACTATAATTTTTACTGCTCTGTTAGGAATTTAAAAATGTAAAAGGTAAAGTAGTCCTAACATTTCAGGAATTGGTTAGATACAGAATATAACTATACCTGAAATAATATTTAAATAGACTAACACACTGCAAGTAGCTATTTTGGTAAAGTTCATAATGGACGGGTTTTCGAGGAAGATTTCAAGTGGTCTTCAGAAGCATTTTGTATGAGATTAGGCTTTTTTCGACCTCCTGAGATTCTGTTTCTGGGGTACTATGATTATAAATATGCCACTACCGGTAATGGCATTTATCCCAGTAATGGCAGTAATAAGTAATGTAGAAGATACATGTTTTCTTAATTGAAATGGTTAAACTGTACACATATTTTTAAAACATTTCTAGGGGCACCTGGGTGGCTCAGTGGGTTAAGTATCTGACTTCAGCTCAGGTCATGATCTCACAGTTTGAGGGTTCAAGCCCCGTGTTGGGCTCTGTGCTGACAGCTCAGAACCTGGAGCCTGCTTTGGATTTTGTGTCTTCCTCTCTTTCTGCACCTCCTCTGCTTTTGCTCTCTCTTTCTCTCAAAAATAAATATTAAAAAAATAAAACATTTCTAAAATACCGTGGTATATTTCATTAGAAACTATTCAGGGTTATTTTGCTCTGTTAGAGAAGAGTGAAAAAGGCTACTGTTCCTTTTTAAAATTCAGCATAGTTATTTAATATTAATGGAGTTCATTATCAATCTCCTAGCAGTTTCTTCTTAAACAGATGAAGTTAGTTGAAAAATTATTACAAAAATATTACAGTCCAAATTACAGAAAATAAACGAATAAAAGACATCTGGGTGGGTTTTGCTTATTCTTATTGAGTAGACAAGATTTAGATGCCAGAAACAATTAGAGTAACTTGGAAATAATCCATAATTTTAGGTTAATATAATCAAATGCTAAATGTGCCTTGGTTCTTAAGGGATAAAGAATATCCCTTAAGAGGATATCCCTTTATGAGGGATAAAGAATATGGCCTTAAATTAGAGAACGTTTCATGAAAGAGAAGAAACTCGCCATTTGGGTAGAGATTTGGTTATTTTGGAGGAGAGAGAATAGCAGGGGAAGTGTGAGGGAATGTGCACAGATAATGTTATTGGAAGAGGCAAATCAATATTGCTATAGTTTATTCTTCTGCAAGATGAGGAACTGATGGGCTTTGGAAACTGGGATGAAGGCCTTAGTATATTGGGAAGACTCTGAGTGTCTTTAGTGTTAAGAGTAATACAAAGAACATAGTATTTTGAGCAGAGGAAAGAGCAGTTGGATGTTCTTAACATCTTCATTAGTGTAGTTAGTGTATAGTGATGGCCAGGATTAAAATAATACTTATAGTAGGAGTTACAGATCTTGATACTGGAAAGAAGGATCTGTAGGACTTGTTGGCAGGCTATAAGCAAGGAAAGGGAAGAGTCAGAGATAAATGGAGAAAATGGTAGGTGGGTGCCCCTTTCATAAAAATTAGGACACAGAAGAAGCAACAGTGGTATATAATAGATTAATATAATAGTGATTAATCTCTGTACTTTTTCTGTATGTTTTTCTGTGTTTTCTAAATTTGTAACTAACATAATCACAAAAGAAGCTTGCTTTTTGTTTTTTAAGAAAAACAATGAGAATGATACAGATACGTTAAAGGAATGGTTGACAGGTTTTGGTGACTCAAAACTATGGTGTAAAGGAAGGAGAAATGGTCAGAAATAGCTTTAAGCCTGATTTCTGTTAATAAGATATATAGCCTTTAATTGTCAGTAAGCATTTAAATAAAGTTAGACATTATTATTAAATTCATTCCTGAGTAAATAATAAAGCTAAATATGGTAAGAACTTACTTTAAAAAATTAAGACTTTTTAAAGGAACATTTTTAGTTTTACAGAATTGAGATTGATAGTACAGAGTTCCTATATACTTCCCTCCCCTGCAGTGTCTTCTTGTAACCTCTCACATTTAGTGGAGCTACATTTGTTAATGAACCAATACGGATACATTATTAACTAAAGTTCATAGTTTATATTAAGAATCACTTTTTGTGTTGTACAGTTCTATAGGTTTTGGTGAATACATGTCCTCTTTCTGCCATTGTAGTGTCATACAGTGTCACACTGCCCTAAAAATCCCCTCTGCTTCACCTATCGTCACTACTCCTTTACCCCCACCCCTCAAATCCCTGGCAACCACTGTACTTTTTTATTGTCTTTGTAGAAGTTTTGTCTTTTCCAGAATGTCATCTATTTGGAATCATATAGTGTGGAATCTTTTCAGACTGGCTTCTTTCCCTTAGCATGTCTAAGTTTCCTTCATGTCTTTTCATGACTTGATAATTTCTTTTTATGACTAATATTTCATGTCTGGATATACTATAGTTTATCCATTTGCCTATTAAAGTATATCTTGGTTGCTTCTAGGTTTTGGCAGTTGTGAATAAAACTGCTGTAAACATTTGTTTACAGGTTTTTGTGTGGACCTCAGTTTTCATCTCAATTGGGTGAATGTCCAGAGTACAATTACTGGATTGTATGAAAAGCTTTGTAAAAAACCACCAAGCTGTCTTCCAAAGTGATTATCCTATGTTGCATTCCCGCCAGCAAAAAAAAAAAAAAAAAAAAAAAAAAAAAAAAAAAAAAAAAAAAAAAAAAAAAAAAAGAGTTCCTGTTGCCCCACATTGTTGTTAGCATTTGGTATTGTCAAGCATTTTGGATTTTAGCCATTTTAATAGGTGTGGCATCTTTGTTTTAATTTGCAGTTCTCTAATGACATGATAATGATGTTGAACATCTTTTCATATCTTACTTGCCATCAGTATATTTTTGGTGAGATGTATGTTCAGGTCTTTTGCTGATTTTTAAATTCAGTTACTTGTTTTCTTGGAGTTTCAAGAGTTCTTTATACAAAACAGAACTGGCCTGTTGGGCCCATGGTGGCTTTAGCACCTGTTTCAGAGGTGTGATTATCTACAGGAACAAAAATGAAATCAGTCAAAACTATACTATTTTGACAAGTTGCTCATATTCAAAGAAAGAGGGTGTTCTAGTTTCTTGGAGTCCAATAATTGTGGAGGGGAAAAAATGGAGATGGTGCTTGAGAACTAGTTTTCATTTATTTGTAGCTTCATTTGTGATAAAGTGTAGCTTGGGTGGTTGAATGGGTGTGCCTGTTTTTATTTCTACAGTTGAGAATGACCCACTTATTTCATGAAAGCTTTATGAAATTGAAAGCCTTGTTTGACTAAATTGTTCTTTGTATTAATTTAGGTACCTCGTAGAACTCGGTTGTATCAAACCACTTTGTGATCTCCTCACAGTCATGGACTCTAAGATTGTACAGGTTGCCCTAAATGGTTTGGAAAATATCCTGAGGCTTGGAGAACAAGAAGCCAAAAGGAATGGCACTGGCATTAACCCTTACTGTGCTTTGATTGAAGAAGCCTATGGTAAGATAGAGTGTTTTAAAATGTCCTGAAATTGTTTTTCTTCTTGCATTTCTGGCTTGTCCACATCTGTTCATGACAGCAGACTCCTTTGAAAAATTTGTTCTCTTATGAATAATGTTTAGTATGTAGAATTGGAAAAGAATATGCATTAAGTACGAAGAGAAGTGAGTACCCTTCATAATTTAGCCATTTAACACTGGGCTCTAAGTATCTTCCCAGGTCCCGGGCTCTGCTTGCCCTTGGTACTCTTTCTTACTGAGAGAAAATAAGAAAATTTCTTACTCTTCCATCTGAACCTTTAAGAACATCCATGTCTACTGTAGATGATGTACTGTAGATGATGCCTGACTCTATTCCAAGATTTACAGTTCTAATTTTGAATTGCATCTCTCAGTTCCTGTGTTTTAAAAAAATTTTTTTGATTTTTTGTCAAATTGGTTCCCATACAACACCCAGTGCTCATTGCAACAGGTTCCTGTGTTCTTAAAGTGTTCCTGACTCTAAATGTTTCTGAGTTTTATCTTAAAGAGTCACTGCCTTTTGGCTTCTTCATTCTTCCAGTCTCTCACTCTTAACTATTAATCCATTGGTTTAGCAATGTACATTAACCTTTTAGTTCCCTAAGTGATTTTAATGTATAGCTGGGATTGAAAACCACTACTCCAGGGTTTGCTTATTCTTACGATTGGAATTAGGGATCACAGGTTATGTCCATCTTCAAGTTTATCAAATAATGCAGAATTGTTTTCAAAATGATTTTTAACAATTTACCATAAAAAATACTGCTTATAAAAGCTATAGCCACTTAGTGTAAGACATTTTGAAAGATATAAAAAAAAATGTTCCTCTACCTGGAGATCTTTCTCCACGGAGATAACGATTAATATTTTGATCTATATATTTTTAACATGGATATGTATATGTTTTTTTTCCTTTGAGCAGTGTTACCTTTTATTTCCAGTATTGCTGTAGTGGTTAGGTTGCTTATGCCTGCAAGTAAAAGAAAGCTTAGCTCAGATGGGCTTGAACTTAGTAATGGGAATGTGTGGGGTAACTGTTCTAGTTGGACTTACTAGTTTAAGCAGTAGGAATTGATTCTGGTTATTTTAAGGTATTATACATTTGTTGACATATTGGATAGCTCAGAACTTAGAATCAGGGCCAAATAATCAGGCCATAGTTATAGTTCATTTGGAACACTTCTGCTACTGGCCTTAGACACTGGATGATATGGTGACTGTTAGGGAAATCACTGCTTCTGGGGACTGGCTGTTGCTTGCATGTGTGTTTAAGGTGTCAGTTTGTAATACTAGCATTCAGATGTAATCCCAGTGATACTTTATATGCTGTTACAAAATACTAAAGAGGTAGAAGTAGAGAAGAGAATCTTCCTTTAAAGAAAGGAGACACGGCAAAATATAATGTCATTGGAGTTTCCAATACATATATACAAAGAACGTATATGTATACATACACACAAAGAGATTTTTCTTTCTTCTTCATTCTAGGTCTGGATAAAATTGAGTTCTTACAGAGTCATGAAAACCAGGAGATCTACCAGAAGGCCTTTGATCTTATTGAGCATTACTTCGGGACCGAGGATGAGGACAGCAGCATTGCACCCCAGGTTGACCTTAGCCAGCAGCAGTACATCTTCCAGCAGTGTGAGGCTCCTATGGAAGGTTTCCAGCTTTGAAGCAATACTCTGCTTTCATGTTCCTGTGTCAGACCAGGCTACCCAGTCAAGTCCTCTTGTGGAGCCCACAGTCCTCATGGAGCTAACTTCTCAAATGTTTTCCATAATACTGTTTGCGCTCATTTGCTTGCCTTGCGCACCTGCTCTCTTACACACATCTGGAAAACCTCTGGCTCTCTGTGGTGGAATACCCTTCTAATAAAAAGGGTAACCAGAACGGCCCACTCTCTTATGGAAAATCCCTAGGCTTTGGAGATCTGCACTTAAATATTATAAGAGTCATGGGAATATACACATATTAATGTGGCTCCCTTTCTTTGTGGGGGAAAAAGAGGACTCCTCCTCATTCCCTTTAAAGTGGGGAAAAACACTGATATTAAAAGATGAGACTAAATCTTTATCTTGAATTTCACACAACTACTTGCAACAAGGGAGATGTTTAGACCTGTTGTGTACACTTCAGAGTACTTTTCATGAGTTCTTCCACAGTGAACCCTTGGATTACCTGGTGGCTTTTCTAGCCAAATTTGCATTAATCCTTACTGAGACTGGATGGTTTTCTTTCCTCTATTGGCGCCATTCTTCACAGATATTAAACCATCCGCTCCCTCACCTTCAGCCTTCAGTGAATGTGCTTTCTAGTTGTCAGGAATGCTGAAGAATTTAACACTTTGACTCTTAAATGTGATACTGGTTTGAAGATTCCCTTAGAGCAGAAAGGAGAGGGCCACATATTAATTTGTATGGCTATCGCTTCTCTTTGGACTTAAGTGTCTTAGGATTTGGAAGTGGTTCAATTCTAATGCTGGTATGAAGATCTAGAATCCTTAGTAATCGAAACAATATCCTATCATTCAATAAAATAAAAAACAAAAAAAATCCCTCCAGTTTTCCCAAACTCAACCAGTGTGACTAGAGGCTGTGTTTCTGCATTAAAACAAATGTTTCAGGCTTTGTAGTCCTGATGAAGGTCCTCATTAAATTGGAAGTTCACCTTAGGTGCTTTTCCTCTCTGTGACTGGCAGATAACACATAATTTTTTTTTAAAGGTAACCTAGGGAAATTTTTTTCTTAGGTGCAGCTTGATTCTAACGTATTCATGCTGCATTGTATGATCCCTTTAATGTAGCATCCTTATCTTAAATAACCACCTTCTCAACATGACTTGTTCAACACAAATAAGGGCAGTGATCTTTTTTTTTTTTTTTTTTTTTTTTTTTTAATAACCTCATTGTTCCCTATTCATTTCATCTCCTACTAGTACTGCCCAGTCAAGTCCCCCCATAAAATAAAAAGTTTTTCTACCTTCTGGCTCATTTAATGATAACTGCAATGTACCTGCAACTGGCGCTTCCAGTACTGTCTTCAGTGATCCACATTTGTGCTCGGACTGGAATGAAAAAATAAGCTTAATTGCCAAGAGAACTGCAACTGAGTTCAATACGACTTCTTGGTGCTAGATGGCCATCTTGACTCAATGTTTGGACACACTATCAGGAGAAGATTTTTTTGTTACGCTGTTCAAAATGAATTCTGAAGGAAAAGTCTCTCACTTCCGTTTCAGAGACTACCCTTTTAAACCTCTTTAATCTTATCCTCTTCTAGAATTCATTATAACCCCAAAATGTAACTATTTGGAAGTTCCCCTGACAGGCTATTCTACATCTCTGGTAAATCCTGCTGAACATTAGGGATATTCAGAGCTTTCATACCTCATCATGTTGTTATTTAAGCAGCCAACTTATGTGACCTGATTTAAACTTTAAAAAATCCACTTCAAAGTAGAAAGATACAAAGACAAAAGGACATTTATCAGCCAAGCGTGTGATGCATTCTTCACATCTAGTCTGTAGTTGTGTCTGTGCTCTGGATGGATACCGTCTGATGTCTGTTACTGATGGAACAGCCACTGCAAAACTAGTCAATTCCCATCTATAAGTTACATTTTCTAGTGCTGCTTTGTGCTGAAAGGACATTTTAGTTTACTGCACTTGACCTGTAAAAGACTTTGATTCTTTGTAATTTTAGGGACAAATTAGGTGGTTAATTTAAAGAAAAACTTTCAATTTTGCCTTTACATCACATTAAAATATAACTTCTTTCAGAAGGGTAATAGAAGCACTGATTCATAGTAAAAATCTTGTTTTTAGCTTTGACTTTTTTTGTGGCTGAGTTTTTTAAACTGTACATCACTGGTAACATGTCATTTCTCTAGGATGTTTTAAATCATATACCTTCTGTTGGATAATTTAAAAATTCTCATTTTGATATTGGATGGAAAAAAGATAAAGCACACAAAATTGTTTCCCCAGATTAGTAAGAACAGCATCCATTGGGAGTTTTTGCCATTGCAGGTGTCTTCAGTGAATGAATTAAAGTCCATTTAACTACTGTGGTCTATTTTCTGTCTAAAATAGGAATTTATCTTGCTCCTGTCCTAGAAGTTCATGAGCCATGAGATACGAGCTAAATTTTTTTTGCAGTAAAATGGTTTTTTAATATAAAATTGGAATTAACTAAAAGGTAAATCCCAGCATAACTGTTGGAATTGGTAAAGTGGCAGCCTTTCTGGTTATAGAAATGAGACTTTAGGAGGTAACTAAGAACTAATTTTAGTTCTCTGCCTGGCAGATTCTATTACTTTGAATTTATTGAAATGTTACTATCATTAAGATGTTACTCATTATAAAAGCATGTTAATTTCAACATAGGAAAACTCTTCTGGAATATTATATACTGATCAGGGGAGAAGTGACTTGGTTATTCTCCCCTTCCTTTTTTTTTCTTCCTCCAAACTTTCAAAGTATATTCTTTGAAATGAAAGGTGGGGGGAAAAAAGCGTTGAAAGCATTTGGAATATAAAGGTCCCCTGTATTTGAAGGACCAGATTAGATTGAGAAAAACCGGGAAAGGTTTTAAGATGATAGGTATGAAAAATAGATGGAGAGAGTTTTCTATGGAATACTTTAATTCATGTTCTTGTCACTAAGTAGGACTCTTAACCTTTGTCAGTTGTGCTGTTTTGAAAACTATTGCCCTAGGATTCCATCTGCCAGATAAAGCTAAATGGGCTCTGGGTCGTTTTTCATATTGTCACAAATATAAACAATGACAATTACCCCATAATAAATCTTAATTATTATTCAAAATTGTTGCTGATTTGCCTGAGAAAAAAAATGTAGTATATTTTATACACCAGACTTTGTCAACTAAATCCTTTTGTACATGGCCACTCACAGGCAACCTTGAATTTACTTCTCTAGTGCTAAACATTTCAGTTACTTAAAATCCCCTAGCTTGTGGTTGCATTATGAAAGGGTTTTCCTCAGGTTGAAAATTTTTTCTTTCTTGCTGATTAGTTTTGTGGACATTTCTGTATCAATAGGCAAGTCATTGCTTATTGATATTTTAGGGCTTTGGGCTTTTTATATGTACTGGAAATCTTGATGTCTAAGGATGTTTTTCACTTAAGGAAAAGGATCCACTTTTAGAAAGGGGCATTGTTTGCTTTTCATATTTATATCCTATTTTCTACCTCCTACATTCCAAAATTTGCTCATTTGCAGAGATAGGCATACCTATATATGAAGTCTCCAATCTGAATTTTTTGCCATCTGAAGTTAACAGTTACTTTTCTTCTGTTGTTAGGTGAGCAGAGTAAATACATTTATCTGCCTAGTTGGGAAATATTTTGGCTACCTTTCTCTATCATCAAAAGTTAAAGTTATCAGGATACCTGGCTGGCTTATAGAGCATTTGACTCTTGATCTGAGGGTCATGAATTCAAGCCCCACACTGGGCAAGGAGCCTACTTGAAAAGAAAAGAAGAAAAGTTAAAGTTACCTTACTTAAAAATATTTTAAAAATTAAAAAGAATGAAATATTTGTTTCCTTATGGGGCGCTTGGCTGGCTCAGTTTGTCGAGCATGTGATTCTTGATCTCAGAGTCATGAGTTCAGGCCCCACACTGGGAGTAGAGATTACTTAAAAAAAAGTTTTGTATTTAAGTTAAAGTAATTGAAGGCCAGATGTGGCACCAGTGCAGTAAGTCTGCTCAAATATGGAGAGTATTCAAATAACATGGCTTTATTATCAGAAAAGGATAGGAAATAATAGTGGGTGCCAGGACATCACAAGAATGTGTGATAAAGTAAAGCAAATATTGTATGCTAATTTAAAACTACCAAATTCCTACTAGGTATAAAATGCATTTGGAAGTTTGGGGCAAGAAGAAAAGATTAAGGGTAGAAAAAGAAGTCCCAGTCTGTTTTCCCGTAAGTCAAAAAGGCAACTAGACTTTGAGCCTCTGCTGTGTGCCAGGTGCCTGTGTAAGGGCTTCTGTTTTTTCTCTTTCATCCTACAATTGCTCTTTGAGGTAGATAACTGTCACTAGGACAGAGGTGAGAGAATCAAGACTTAGGAGAATTTACTTTGCCCCAAGGTCACAACTCATAGACACTGTCCAGTGGTGGGACAGAGCCCTGCAGGTTGTATCTGGAAGAAAGTAGCAGGCATCGTAGAGGTGTTCTGTACCAGGAACTCTCAGAACTGGACTTAACAGCCACAGCTGGACCAGCTTTTTGTTGGACCATTCTTTCTGACTCTGTCATCAGCACCCTTAAAAGAACTAAATCAGGTATGAAGTTGCTTTTAGGTTGCGTATTTTGGTAATGTAGACCCTCTCAGCCCAAACTTCTTTCCCCTTCTGTGGTGCTAAAATTCTGTATATGACCTGACAAAACAACAGAAGTTAAAATATATATGCAAGTGATTGATTTTGAGTTTAATAGCATAATGGGTAAACTTAGAAACATGTTTCCATTGAACAAACTCAATTGTAGAAGGTATTGATTGACACAGAGAAGGAAAGGCTTTGGAATGAAGAAGTCTGCCTTAGAAAGCAGTGCCATCCATGGACATGAATTTAACACAGCTGACTTCCTAAAGGAGTATCATCCCGAGGAGTATCTAAAGTTAGATCACCTTTTAATGTATGTTGTTGAGTATGTTTTTACTTCATCATTATGACCACTCTATGTTGTTTTTCAAAGTGTTCTTACACTTTGATTTGGAATGGATCTGATGATTCTTTGTACTTGAATGTGGTCTGTCAGGCCATGGGTGAGTGCCTTGCACATAGTAGACTATTCAATAAATACTAAATGACTGAAGGAATATGGATCTATGTGATATTAGTAAAGAGTATGGTTACAAAAGAAAACTCAAAGGAATTTTATGCTGTTGTGTGAAACTAGGAATTAACTCTTAGACTTAGTGTCTCAACATGTGTTTTATATGTGGTTACCTTTCAGGAGGACATAATTTGACATGAAGTTTCAATGTCTACAAAAGTAGACATTGTCACAGCAGTTCATTATATAAAAACAGACCTATGCCTTCTGAGAAAAGTTATGGGTGTATTTTACAGGATATATATATATATATATATATATATATATATATATATATCAACCCTGTTTGTATATACCAAAAATAGCTTATCAGTCTCTTCTGATACAGTCTAAGAAAAAAAAAAAAAAACTTTTTTCCAGTTACATCCAACTTATGTGGAAGCTGATGGTCGAAATAGAGATTTTTTTTTTTTCATTTTTACTATTGTATGTATTGCTCAGATTGTACTGGCCAGGTATTTTTTCTGAAAACAGAATCTTAAAATATAACTAGTTCCTGCAGACTACACTGTCATCTATAGTACAAAATGACTTAGTTTACAAATTTATTAAAGCTAGGGTAGATCATCATTGCCCCTATTTCATTTGCCAATTTTAACAAGTGTTTTTCTCATTCTACAATCAATATACGGTCATTTCTGTCATCTTGAATGTTTATGCAGAGAATAAAATTACTCTCTAAATTCCTTTATACCCATTTAACCTGAAGAAGCCAGTGAAAAACCGCAATATGGATCATTGCCTTCTCTAAACCACTTGGGCCCAGCATTATTTAGAGTGATGGGTGAGGAGAACGTAGAAACCCAGAAGACCAGAGTGGTGGGGAAAGGACAGCATAAGGTTTGAGAGAGATGTGGGCAGGCTGGTGTGTAAACTACCATGTAAAGAGCATAGAATATTCCAAGATTAAGTTGTGATTATGAGAAGAATCCTCCAGAAGTCAACAGTGATTGTGGTTTAGGGATAGACCCAGTTTTTAGATTAACACCAGTTGAGGATTTTGGTGCCCCCTTTCACTTTAAAAAAGGTCTCTGTTTAGATAAATTTTAGGCCACTCCATATTTAGCCCAACTATTTGTATTATTTAAATTGCTAGTGGTCTTAAAAAGAGTACAGAGTTCTTGATTTTTGAGGACTGGATTTGGTTAATTGGAGCTGGCGTGAAGGGAGTCAGTCAAGACATTCCTTAATATAGGAATCACTCCCAGTCCTGACACAGAACTCAAAAAGCAGTATGTTAATTAAAAAATGACCTATTTGTGGCATTTCTATTTAGAATATCTGCAAACTTTACTGAGGGGCAAGGGAAATAAACCTTTAAACCATTGAGACCTTGAGTTCTAAAACTTCTATGGAAATCTAAAGAAATCGAATTGATTTCTACAGAGAGGGAAAATTCCGAATTACCTGAAGAAGATTAAGGGCAGCAAAAATAGAAATTATGAAAAACAGACTGTGTGAGGAACTTTGCTTGAGAGCAGCAAATACAAAGCTCTAATTACAGTTTCTGCCCCTTTGGATTTACCTGTATCAGTATTCTCTACTCCTACAAACTCCACACTCTGATGCTCCCCTCCTCCCAAACTATGAAATTCTTAGGCCTAATTCATAAGGACTACGATATCAGGACTACATGTTAATATTAGAACATGACTAATAAAAAGGTTTAACTAGTTACAGTCCTAGCTTTAATTTTCTTTACACAAGTTCCTGATGTTATTTGTAAACAAAAAATTCCAGGCATCAAGAAATGATTTTAATTGTGGAAATTTCAAATTCTGAGAAAATATTAAAAATTATTTCTGGGTATTCCTACCAACACATTCTTTTAAATTTCTTTTTAAAACTCTACCCCTAGGGGCGCCTGTGGCTCCAGGCGGTCAATCCGACTGCTCAGGGCTCATGATCTTTAGGTCCTAGTGAGTTAGGAGCCCAGGCTGGGGCCCTGTGCTGACAGTTCGGAGCCTGTAGCCTGTTTCAGATTCTGTGTCTCCCTCTCTCTGCCCCTACCCTGTTCATGCTCTGTCTCTGTCTCAAAACTCAATAAACGCTAAAAAAAAAAAAAATTTAAACTCTACCCCTAACCTAGGGCTTGAACTCACCGCCCTGAGATCAAGAGTGGCATGCTCTACTCAGTGAGCCAGCCAAGTTCCCCCCCATCCCCCTCATTGTTATTTCTAGTGGGTTATTAAAATCTACTCCAGCACCAACAACCCATCCTAGCCCTCATGTCATAGATTTACTTGTCTAATTTTCACTTTCTTTACTCTCCTAGTGCATAGAACAGTTATTGGAAAAATAAGAATTTCAATTCTTTGGAACAAAGCCTACAGTTCTCTATAGCGCTTTTAAATTTTTTGATGAGTCAATAAAAATGAAAAGTCTCAACAGATGCAGAACTTGAGTGTTTCTAAGCTTCCAGTAAAAATCACACTAATCCAGGCTAATAGGAAAGGAAAGGGAGGAGGAAGAGTTTAATCACAACTGAACTTTAAGATATTATATAAAAAGGGGACACAAGTTCTCTTTTTAAGATGTCATGAAGAGGAAGGTCCACATTAATAAATAGCTAGGAAGAATCCTATTTAATGTAATAAATAGATGTTCCAATTCACTTAAAAGATGGTCCTATTCCCAGCACCTTGTTATCCTTATACAATTAACCTGCGCAAGCTAAGACTAAAGTTTTTGTTCAATTCCTGTCCAAATTCCAAACTAAGTCGTAGGGTCTTAAAGTAATGAGGTTTTTACTATGTTCGGTTATTATACGTGATCTAATTATGTCATTGTGCCTTATTTAAAGGCTAAACTTTCAATGATCCCTAATACAAGATAGAAGCCTGTTTGCAAATGCATAACTGTTGACTGACAAAAACATCGTTAAGAGATACCTGCGCCTCGGGGCGCCTGCGTAAGTTGGTAGAGCAAGCCACTCTTGATCTCCCCTGTCTCCAATTCAAGGGTCAAGCCTAACGATGGGCGTAGAGATTGCTTTAAAAAAAAAAAAAAAAGATAACTTGCCTCTAGACTTCAGCTTTGCCAGAGGGGAAAACCTTGTAAAGAAAACAGTGCCTCTCTTGAGCACTCTTTACTAGGAGATTACAGGTAAGTAGAAATTCAACAGGCTTCAATCTTTTGGTAAACTTTTTTCTTTCTTTTTTTTTTGTAAGTATACACCCAACATGGGGCCTGAACTCAGGAACCAGAGATCGAGAGTCGCATGCCCTACTGATTGTGCCAGCCACGTATCCCAGTACACCTATTCTTGTTTAAAGATAGTAACTTAACATCTGAAACGCATATATTGTTTACATAACACTCTCACACTTTCAAGGCCATTAAACTTTTGACCCTCTAAAGCCAATTACGAGTTAACCTTATACATTTCTTAACCACGTTCTACGAATCTGTCATTTTCGGTCTGAAGCACCTGTACAGAGCTCACCTGTTTTCTTACAACGTTTAAGGCATTAGGAAGTGCTAAAACAAACGTCTGCTCGTTCCCCCCCCGCACAATGTCATGCTAAGTACTGGCCTTTGGAGGCCCACAACATATACTCTATCCTTCCCCAAACGTTTCGGCAAAACTTTTAAACCAGAAGCTTTATAATCTGGACAATAAATTCGGCTAAGCTGCCCTTGCCTATTTTCAGCTTTACGTACACGCCACTAGGCTCTATACCACACGAGTAGAGAGGAGCAGAACCGACGCCACCCGAAAAGCAGAAACTTGGCCAGTCACCGGCATCTGGGGGGGGGGTGGGGGGGGGGGGGGGGGGGGGGGTGGGGTCGACGTTGGCTACGTGCCAAATGTGGGCTTGACTTTTCCGCTAAGGGAATCGGAAAATTCAGTCATTCCTCGTGACACGGTTTCCAAAATGAAATGAATGTTGTTTGTAATATTCGCTGCTACCCACGCTAGCCAGTCAGGTCTGGGAGAAGCCCCGCTCACCTCCTCACTCGCCAAAGGTAGTCAAAGGTATGCGAGTGGCAACCGCGGCGAAGAAGACCGGAAGGAAACGCCGGCGTCTCCTTTTGCGCAAGTGCAGGCAGACCTCTCCTATTGGTCACCGCGGCTGGAGATTGGTGTGCACATGCGCTCTGCTGACCTGCCAGCTGGGTGTGATTGAGGCGGCGGTGCACAACAGTGTTTGTCCGCGGAGTGTATAGCCAACCGTCAGGGTCGCAAGTAGTGGTGCCTACGCAGGTTTTCTTTTTACTTTCTGAAATCTCTTGTTTAAGCCGTTGATTCATTCATGCTTATTTAAATACCTGTCTGTCTGCCTGGTAGGCTTGCTCAGTGTTCTCAGACATTGTGGAATTGAGGGAGGGGCTGTGAAAAAGTGTAGATCACCCACGCCCCTCGTTCGCAAAATACCCAACACTAATACCTTACTTGCTGACGACGCATAGCACTCTTTTAATAGTATTTCTCAAGTATTTGTTTACAAAGGAAGCAAGGAAAAGGGGACGTGCTGCTGTATCATTGTATATAGTAGTTTAAAGACCGTCCAGAAATTAAAATCATTAAAAGCTGGTTTATTTTTGAATCTCATATTTTTATCTTCATTTTGCTGGGCAGAAAGTCGGAATATTGGGCTGCCTCGTTCAGGGCCGGACGCTTACCCAACCTACTTGGAGCTTCAGAACCATGGCGACAAAGGAGGCAGGAGATGGTGAAGCAGAGTCGAGCCTTCCCTCAGCCAACGGGAGGAAGCAAATGTCTGAAAAACCAAACTATGCTCTTAAATTTACTCTCGTGGGACATACGGAAGCAGTTTCATCAGTTAAATTTAGCCCTAATGGAGAATGGCTAGCAAGTTCTTCTGCTGATAAAGTAATTATAATTTGGGGAGCCTATGATGGAAAGTATGAGAAAACACTTTATGGTCACAGTCTGGAAATATCAGATGTTGCCTGGTCATCAGATTCCAGTTGGCTTGTTTCTGCCTCAGATGATAAAACGCTAAAGATTTGGGATGTGAGATCTGGAAAATGTCTGAAAACGCTAAAGGGGCACAGTAATTACGTTTTTTGCTGTAATTTCAACCCACCATCTAATCTCATCATTTCAGGATCTTTTGATGAGAGTGTGAAGATATGGGAGGTGAAAACAGGAAAGTGCCTCAAGACTTTGTCTGCTCATTCTGACCCAGTTTCTGCTGTTCATTTTAATTGTAGCGGGTCCTTGATAGTATCAGGTAGCTATGATGGTATCTGTAGAATTTGGGATACTGCATCAGGTCAGTGTTTAAAAACACTTATTGATGATGATAACCCTCCTGTCTCTTTTGTAACATTTTCTCCAAATGGTAAATATATTCTAATTGCAACCTTGGACAATACTCTTAAACTGTGGGATTACAGCAGAGGCAGATGCCTGAAAACGTACACTGGCCATAAGAATGAGAAATACTGCATATTTGCCAACTTTTCAGTTACTGGTGGAAAGTGGATTGTATCTGGTTCAGAAGATAATCTGGTTTACATCTGGAATCTTCAGACTAAAGAGATTGTACAGAAATTACAAGGTCATACAGATGTTGTAATCTCAGCAGCTTGTCACCCTACAGAAAACATCATTGCATCAGCAGCATTAGGAAATGACAAAACAATTAAACTGTGGATGAGTAACTACTAAACCCTTTAGAAGTCAAGTAGTAGAGCCAAGCTGGAAAAAAAAAAGTTATTTAAAAAGATGGTTTCCCCTTAATTTTGGCATAGTTTTGTATTTCTTTTTAACATTGTCTTACAAGATTTCAGACCTATAATCTAAATTTGTAAAGCAAGACAACTGGAAAAACAAGTCTAGAACCTAGGGCTTCTGACTTTTAATCTGTTATTAATCTCTTATGTCTCTTCCTGAACAGATTCCCATTCTGTTCCTCCCAGTGAGTATTTTAGAGAATCAGTGTACTTGAGAAATATTTAGAAGTAAGGTTCACAAGATAGGATGACTATTAAGTGAGGAGAGCAAGGGAGTTTGGAATAACTCCAGTGTTTCTGATTTGGCAGATCAGATAGATGAATAAGAGCATAAGCCTGGGATAGTGGTGGATTGGAGATGTATGATGGATGCTACTCACACACTTTAAGTGATAGCCTATGTGATGGGGCGTGAAATGGTTCCATGGAATCGAGTCTATAAATTGGGAAAAATAAGCCATGGTTAGGTTTGCTCTGAGAGTCTAAGAATTTTAAGTTTTTATCAAGATAAAAACTAAAAATAAACCAAAACATTATGTCATTTTACTGAAGAACCTCTCACTACTTCATGTGCCCTCGTGTTTATCAAGCAAGCTAAATGTCTGAATGAGGTGAGGCTATATTCTCTTCCACTATGTGTCTGACCTACTAACTCCTACCTGTGCTTCAAACGTGGTTCAGAAATCACCACTTTGTGGACCATCACTGCCTGCCTGACTCCAATCACAGCTGACAGCTGAGTTAGGTTTTCTTGTTCCTTCCTATAGCTTCTGTTATAAAGTTCAGAATATATCTTTTACCAATTTGTATTGTAATGGTTTCACAGGCCATGTTTCCAGTAAATTATGAACTCTGTCAAGTATGTTTTTATTCATTTTTGTATTCTCAGTATTTATAAGGGACTAATGATGAATGACAATGTATTATACCACCATCACCACCACTACCACTTTATTCACTCCTTGCCTGCTTTCAACACATTTTTGGAATTAAGTCCCCATACTATTACTTTTGTTGATTAAAAGTATCTGACCATAGGCTAACATATTAACTTTAGTCAGACAGGGCTTTTAGGAAATATAAAGTGGAAAATGGTTTCTTCCCACTTTCCCTACAGAGACATGATAAACATGGGGGGAAAATCTAGAAATTAAGCAAAAAATAATACAATAATTGAAAGTAAGAGGACAAAGCAGTCTTAATTTTTTTTTGTATTCTTTAGTATCTTGTAATAGTGCCTATTAAATCTGATTTGCCTGACAAATTCTGAGGAATGTAAGGTATTAGAGTTATTAGTAGAGTATGACTGCCAAGAAGGTATTGTGTGAGGGTACTTGGAGAATGGGGATTAGTTAAGGACAAGTCTGAAATTCTTGGCAAGAAATTTATATTTAACCCATAAAGAAGTATTCAAAGTTACTGAATAGCAGAATGACAGAAAATGAAAAATGATCATGTGAATACTTGCTGCATGGTAACATTCGTGAATTTTGGTTTAATGAAACTTTTATTACAGTAAATCTCCAAGGTAACACTTTAAAATATTACTTTTGGGGCGCCTGGGTGGCGCAGTCGGTTAAGCGTCCGACTTCAGCCAGGTCACGATCTCGCGGTCCGTGAGTTCGAGCCCCGCGTCGGGCTCTGGGCTGATGGCTCAGAGCCTGGAGCCTGTTTCCGATTCTGTGTCTCCCTCTCTCTCTGCCCCTCCCCCGTTCATGCTCTGTCTCTCTCTGTCCCAAAAATAAATAAACGTTGAAAAAAAAAAATAAAAAAAAAATTACTTTAGAAGTTAAAAATGATATTGTTCTATGAAGAAAAATACTTATTTTTAAAATAAGTAGATTAAAGTCAACTTGGTATCTAAAACATTAAGGTCAAATTATTCTAAAATAAAGTAGATCAACAGACATCATCAGATCATGAAATTATATTTGGTGCATTACATTTTACTTAGTATTTTATTAAATCAAGTTCCAATACAGCTGCATATATTACTTTCTGTTACAATCCTCTAGAGACAACTAGCAGGTTGGGATGGCTGTGAGGACTTGTCATTCATGTCATCCATTAATACTATGAAACGTGAGAATATATGAAATACCAGCATCCATACCTAAATATGAGACAGCTGGCATCGTAAAGTGTAAATGAAATACATCCTGGATGCACATGCTTATCTTTCAACACTAATAAATAAGAATATGCATTTGATAGATTTTCGTAATTGAGAAATTTAGTGTAAAGGCAAAAGGAAAAGGACCAATTGTGAACTCTAAGCCATGCAGCAGAAGAGGTGACTGCTGGCCCCAAAGCAACTTTATGGTGCTGGGATTTCAGAGTCCTCAGAAACTCATGACCAGACCATTCTCATCACCTTCCCAGGACCTTTTCCAAGACTGCTCTCCTACAAGCCTCTATTAACATGCCTGAAGATGGCAGAGTGTGATCTAGCTGCTTCCCAGGGCTCTCAGAAGCACCATGATATTTGGGGAGGTTAGCTCTCCAAGATGCCCCTGGGCAGTATACTGAGCTGGCTTTCCTTATCCCTCTAGAAAGGAGTACACATGAGCGAGAAATACAGAACTAGAAGCCATTTTGGCTTCTGTAGAGAAATCACTTTCGTAATGAAAATTAAAGTAAGATATGGCATCTCTCTAAAGAAGAGTTAATATTAAAGTTTAAATAACTTGCCCGATTTTTCTCCAAAAAGGTGAAAGGCTGCATTTAACCTGGATCAAAGCCACAAAAATATAGACAGGTCATTTTTTTAAGGAAATTTATTTGTACCACCACAGCAGAAATTTATGTCTGTGTAAACCATACTTTCATGAAACAGATCCTCATACCATATTCTTCTTAATAACAGGCTAATTGCTGCAACATTATTCCTGCATTTTCAAAAGCCAGCCAACATGGATACCTCTGCTACTCTGTTTTGGCCTTCATAGCTGCTTCCTCTCTCAGGCGAGCTTTCTTTTCTAAGTTCAGGCTTGTTAAAGACTCGTTTCTTCTGACAGCCTAAAGTGAGACAGATTTGAACAAGTGATTATTTGTGTGGGTTTGGGGAGGATGTCATTACCCTGCACTCATGTCAATAGATTAACTGTGGCAGGGCATGCCCACAATGGTCTGCTGTGTGCACATTGGGCACAGACACATCCTCCCCGTGCCTTCTGCTTCCTCTAACGCTTCACAGTACAGTAGCCCATCCAGTCAAGCATGAGAGAAATCTGCACCTCTACCTTCTCTGTCTTTCTGGCATGTTTCTGTAAATCTAGCTTCTTCCCTTATAATTAATTCCCTTATCTTTTTCCCTTTTTTCTCTCTTTAGTATTAATACCTTTTTGTTTCCATTTCTATCCTTTCTTTCCTTTCACTTTTTTTTGTTGCTACCATTTCTCCTATCCTAACTCATTTGTGTATTTTCATACCCTTCAAACTCCTTACTCCTCTTTTACCAAAAATATTTAGCTTTGGAGATCCCAGACTTTACTAAATACTACGACTGATGACTCTCACCAGTATCTATCCCACTACTCCAACCTGTGGGAGTAAACAGCAGTGGGGGAGAGGCAACCGTTCTCTTCCCTTGTTTCCTTCCACGTGACCTATTACATGCCTGTGAAGCTTACATAAGCTGACCAGTTTCAGAAGCTTTATACCAAATAAGTGAAACTAGCACCCTATACATGCGGTGGAATTTTCTTCTGTGTAATTTCACATGTAAAGAATTAGGTATGGGAAGGGGTAGGAGAATGGGAATGGTACCTTGATGGTAAGGACAGAACATACAATGGCTAACTTCTCTCTTCTATATAGCATTAAGTCTAAAAGTTCTCCATTCTACAGTAGCATTTACCAACTTTTAAGAAGTGGATAGTTCCATGTGAAACAAATGAAATGGCTTTCTGGTACATAAAGGAGAGAAAAGAAACTCTTAAAGTACATGGCGTATACCCTAGGATGACACTAGAGGAAATCCCAGGGGATAACTTGTTTCTAGAGTATTTAGACTCAGCTTACTATAATCAAGTATACAAAACCAATACAGACTTCTTAGAATTCCAGAAGCCCCTATGTCCTGTCCACATGCTTCTGCAGGTTTCAATCTGAGAACTAAGCATGAGAAGTCAAACAGGAAGTCAGAAGAAAAACTGAGGTAGGGCAGGAACAGAGATGTCTTGGAAAGAACTTCACCTAGTCCTGCACACTTGTCCCTCATGCTCCCATAAGGTTAAGGTCAGCCTAAATGGTCAGTATTTTCCATTCCAAGAGTCTGAAGAGAGCCAGATGTTCATTTCCTTTTACTCTGCACTCACTGGGGATAAGGAAGTCAGTTATCACTGGGTTGGCAGAAGAACCTTTTTAATATTTTATAATAGATATAAGACATCTCTTTCCACATGGAAGTTGTGATATATAAAATTAGACATAGTATTAAAATAAGGGTTTGACCAGTCCTGCTGCATATAAAAAAAAACATATTTTAATCACAAGATAGTACTATGAGTTTGGGAACTTGAAAAGTTGGCTCTACATTTTTATCCTGCCACTTATTAGCTATGTGACTTTGGGAAAGTGATTTAATAGCTCTGAGCTTCAGGTTTCTCTTTTATAAAGTATGGATACTAAGAGAACAACTGCTTAGGTTCTCAGGGCATTGTGGTGATTCAGTGAGTTTAATAGTACCTGTGACATAATGAGGACTCAATAATTGGGAGCAATTTTACTATCAACCTCAATTAGACAGGTCTAGATTCAAACTGTGCTCTGCCATTCAGGAGATAGGCAAGTGAGCAAAGCTTTCTAAGCCGCGTTTCCTCATCTATAAATAAGGTGCTAATAATAGTATCTATTCCGCTGTGCTGTTCTGAGGTTCAAATGAAAGAACAGCCAAGTGCTTAGAAGACAGTGAATACTCAATTAATGATAGCT